GGGCTCGGGCGAGGGGGCGGGGCGCCAGGTACGGGTGGCGCGGGGGGCGGGGCCGCGGGGCTGGGGCGGGGACACTGAAGCCCCGCCCCCGGGCGGCCGGCCCGCTGCGGGCCTCGACCTTGCGCCTGCGTATTCGGGCCGGTGTACTGGGAGCTTTAGACTCCTCGGGCTCCCCGGAGTACCTCGCCTTCTGTGTCCTCCTAGACTCTGCATGCCCTGCCTCGGGACCTCAAAGATGAGGTTTTTGGGATAGGCTGTGGGGCCGGCCAGGAAGAAGAGGGGTTACCTTGGAGACAGGACTTCTTCAACACTTAATGCTGGGCCCCTTCGCATGTCTCATCATGTTACAACCCAAGAAGTACAGATGTTATCCCCATTATACAGATGAGAAGACTGATTCCAAGAAGTGAAATGGCTTGCCCTAGACAGCTAGGAAAACGGGAATCCAGGAAAGAGCCTGGAGCTACACTTCTGAGCCTCTTCTCTCCTTCCTCCCCTTCCCCACTCCAGTGCCTGACAGGGGCTGGCCTGTACCCTGCATTCCCCATGCCCTGACTGCCACCAACCCCAGGGAGACTGCCTGGGGGGTGAGGTGGTGAAGGCTGCCAGGGCCCCATGGTAGGGAAGAAGGGGCTGAAGCAGATTTCAGGGCACGTGTTCTAGCTCTGGCCTTGCTACAACCTGCTGATCGGTACAAGTGAGTCTCTGCCCCCTCTCTGGATCTTGGTTTCCCCATCTGTAAAATATAAGGCCTCTGCAGCCCCTTCCTGCTGACCCTGGTGTGTCTTGGCCAGGTTTAGCCGCCCCCTCCTCCAGACATATTGAGAGAGTGGCAATGCCTCCTGAGCTCTGGCCAAGTCAACCCCTGCTACTTCACACACGGGTAGGGCACGGCCACCTCACAGCTCAGCGCCAGACCTCTCTGCATCTTCCCAGAAGAGGTGCTGGCAGCCGTACTCCATCCTGCATCCCTAGGGCCAGGGGCTCCTGGAAGAAAGGCACTGTGCTTTCCTTCCCCCTCTCTTTCCACACCTGGCCCTGGGTCAGGTTTGGGTCTGGAGAGCTGGTGGGAACTCTGGAGATGTGAGTTCCAGACACAGAGTAGCAGCTTTGGTTTTAATAATTAACAGCAGCAAATATTGATTTACAGAGCCACTTCCAGGCCTGCACACTTCCGGGCACTCATCGAAATGCAGCCAGAGGAACATCATTCCCACACTAGCCCCGGAGGAGGTGAAACCTTCAGGATGTAGGATGTGGCTGTGTGCTTGTAGAGCTATTGTGATTCTGTGTGCAGGAGGATGCCTGGGTAGGTGTGTTTTTGTGGGTTTTGTTTTGGTTTTGTTTGGGGTTTTGAGACAGGGTCTCACTACGTAGTTCAGGGTGGCCTTGCAATTATTATGTAGCCCAGGCTGACCTCAAACTCACAGCGATCCTCCTGCCTCAGCCTGAGTGCTGAGGTTACATGTGTGCACCACCACACCCAGCTTATATTTTTGCCTTTTACACATACATCTCATGCATATGTGCATACACAAACATGTGTTTTGTGTCTGTGACTATGTCCTATACTATGTGTGGGTAGGCAGGGCATGTGCATGTGTACAGATTTCTGAATTCCTGAGTGGGGGAAGCCTGTAGAGGGAGGGGTGCTCGATAGCTCAGTGTCTGTTCAAAGAGAAGGGAGTGTTCCCTCTGGGTGTTCTACCCAGCCCTGGGAATGCAATGGTGCTTATAACAGGTTAGCTTTCTACCTTCTACATTCCAAAGTATTTTTAAAAGCATCACCCATTTGCAAGCTGGCGGAACTCTAAGCTCTGTGCTACAGATGAGGAAACAGGACAGGGAAGGGCATCGATCTGCTCACTGCACAGGGAGGTCACTTGTCCCTCAGACTGGTGCCATCAAGCTCATAAATATGCTGTGCCGGGGATTTAGCTCAGTGGTTTTGCCACCTGCTGCTCAAGCTCAAGGACCGGAGTTCAATCCCCGGTACCCCCCCCAAAAAAAGATCATAAATGTACAGATTTGGGGGTGCTGGGGGAGAGATGGAGAATGTGTCCCAGCCTGGGTTCCCTCAGCCCACTGCTGACTGGCTGGGGACCCCAGATGAACTGTTCCATCTCTCTGAGGCTGGTTTCCTTCCCTGTTGAAGGAAAATGATCCACAGCCTGGGTCTTGATTCTGGAGTGGGGTGGGCTGTCTAGGGGTGGGCGGTGAAGCCCACAGGGCTGCACTGGCCAGGAGGCTGCCAGACTGGGGGGAGGCCAGGAAGCCTCAGGGGAGACAGCTCAGTACCAATCCAGGAAAACCAATCCCAGGCTGCCTGAGCAGGCAGGACCCAGGGCAAGGGCCGAAGAGCCTCTTCCTAGATGGGAATACTGAGGCCCTGGGAGGGGAACACTATCCCCGAATGCTTGGGCAGAGAAGGCTGGGTGCCTCATTCATGACCTTGGCTTCTCTGGCAAGCTGCTGCCATCAAGTCACCCCTTCCTGCCAAGCCCCAGGACCCACTCGGCACAGTCTTGCAGTGTTGCCTGAGCAGAGAAAGTCAGAGAGGGTCTCAGGAACCCCATTCAGGTGCCACCAGCACCACCACTTGGGACCCTCATACAGATGGAAGTCCCACATCCTCTCTCCTGGCCCAGAAAAGGTCCCCAGCCCTTGCTCCAGGCTAGAGCCCGACAGGAGGAGCCAAGAAGATCCTGCTTTTACTCTTTCCTGGCTGTGTGACCTTGGACAGACCTCTACCTCCCTGAGCATGTGAATCCTCATCTGGAGAATGCCTACCACACAGGGTTGATGAAAGGACCAAGAAGCATGATGTTTATGGATGTGTTTTACAAACTGCAGAGCACACCCTAGAGGTGAGTGCTTATTATCCCTGTGCTAGAGAGGCACGAGCCAGGCACTCTTGTATTCATTTATTTATTTTTTGGTTGTTTGAGACAGGGTCTCGCTATGCAGTTCAGGTTGGCCTTGAACTCACTGTGTGGCCCAGACTGGCTTTGAACTCATGGTGATCCTCCTGCCTCAGCCTCCTGAGAGTTGGGATTACCGGTGTGCGTCACCATGCCTGGCTTTAAACTGGGCACTCTGACCATATCCAACCTACAGGACATTGGGTGAGTAATTGAACCTCTCCAAACCTTGTCTCATCTGCAAAATGGGACTAATAATAGTGACTATTACAGCACTCAGAGCTGCAGTATGAGATGTGATACCTCTCGCAAAACACTGAGTCCTCGGCTGGCAGGCAGTAAAGCCAAGGCAATCCAAGTGGCCACTAGTAGCAGGTGACATTCTGTGTAAATTGGTTAGTAATTTTCCAGGCTAGGGATCCTTGAGGGCAGCCAAAGTTTCAGCACAAAAACCTGGACTTCAAGGCGAACAATGAGAGCAACCACACACATAGGACCCTTCCCTGGGGCCAGAGAGTGTGTCTGGTTGGCACTTTTGCATTCAGTCTTCACAATGGCCTGCGAAGCAGCTCCTGTCATCACACCTGACTTACAGAGAAGGACACTGATGGTAACACTGAAGAAGACGATGATGGAAGAGGGTGGCCTGGCCAGTCCACGGGCAGCTGTTTTCCTAGAAAAGCCCTACCCCTCTCCTGGGTCCCCCGATACTGCACAGACCACCCAGGGCCCAGGTGCAGCAGTCCAGCCCCCAGCAGGACCTCCCAGCACATCTCCCAGCCACCTCTCCCAGCCCACGGGAAGGGGTGGCATGGAGGCCACTTACCTTAGGGTAGGGTGAAGCAGTGTGGGAGGGAACTGAGTCCACTCGTGACAGGTCTAGTGCCTGAGAGATGTGCCGGTTCTGCCCATCACTCCTCCTGAAAGAGAAAGAGTCTGAGGTCAGAGAGCCCCAAGCTGGGAGGTATGAAATTCTTGGGGGAAGTGTCATTGCTGAGGTGAAGGGGAATAGATGTCATGGAGGGTTCCCTGGGAGGAGGAGGAGGAGGAGGAAAGGCTTCCTGAGCAGGGCTGCCAAGCCGACCCTCTTTCCAGAGATCAGAGGTGTGGACAGGGTCTCTCCCCACTCTCCATGAGCTTTTAGCCATGAGGATGTCCACAGAAGGCCGAGACTTCTAGACAAACAGGGTGCCCAAGACGATGACTCCTCGGGCTACCGAGCTATTGCTATCACTGATGACAGTAACTGCCACTCATGGGGCCCATGATGTGCTAGGTCTGTGCAGAGCCTTCTATCCAGCCTGAGGACACTGTCTCCTCACCACACTGGAATTCCCACTTAAGACCTGGATGGTCTTAACAGAGGTCACACATTTGGCCCGAGGCAGAGCTGGCATCTTCACGGGACCTGACTGCCTCCAGCTCTGCCCACACAGCTCTCTAGGACAGAGGTCTGGTGAGGGCAAAGCTAGCACCCGGCACCCTAGAAAGCTTCCTGAGGCCACCCCCAGGGTCAAAAGAGGAAGTGCCCCTTAGTTCCCAGAATCCAGGCAGCCCGGGGCTGGGCAAGCAAGCCGGCTTCCGCTGCTGCCGAGGGCCACCCTGACGTGGCTGCACCTCCGCCCAGCACCCATCAAGTAAGGCTGGTCCCTCGAGGGTGAGTCACCCTCCAGACGATGCTCAGTGGCCTGTGGCAGGTTTGAGTCAGGCAGTATGGGATGCCACGCCCCACAGGAACCTGCCCAGGAAAGACGCCAAAGGAGTTCTCATCCCCTCTGACTTCCCCAGCCAGAGGAACCATCCACAGACCTGCTTGGCACTGGGGGCTCCTCCACCTCCTGGAGGTGCTGGCACCCTAAACAAAGGGTCTACACTTGACAGTGACCCAAAAGGATGGATCTGGTGGCAGTGGCATTCCAAGCCCATGGCATCAGTAAAGGTGGACAAGATACCCTCAGGCTGACTGGCAATGTGAGCACGGGTCTCAGCCTCAGTTTCCAAAAAATTCCTCACAGAGACTGGGCAGCTTGTAGGCATTCACTTCAGTGAATACCTTTATATGTATTCAGTATTCATTCACAGTAAACTCTGGCTGCCCCAGTTAGCATCCCATTAAATCGTTGTTGAATGAATGAGTGAAGGTTGACAGTAGGGAGTCATTGAAAGTCCATGAGTAAAGGAGTGTCCTGAACAGTTTCTTGAAAACTGCAAGACTCATTGACGTGGGGAGAAACTGGAGATGGGGGCTGAGGTTCCCAGAGAGAGGCGCACAGAAATGCCCAGGTAAATTCCATGTGGACTCTCTTGAGACCTGTGTGCCTGGAACTAGGTCAAACATATTACACCGTCACTGCCATGCCAGGAGGCTGGTATTATTCATCTCCATTTTCACAGATGGACAAACTCAGGCTCGGTGAGGCAAAGCTTCTTCCCCAACCAGTGGGGGACAGAGCCTGAATTTAAAGCACAGGCCCTTGAGGGAACATGGGTGGTGCCGTGGGTGGGGAGCAGAGGCTGCCCAGGGCCAGAAGTCCCAGGGGTGAACCCTGGGTGAGGCTGGGTGCCCTTGGTGGGGCACTGCAGTCCTGACGTGGCCCTGGCTGCTGAGTGGCAGGTGGCACCCTGACCAGGCTGGGTGCACAGTGGCCTCTCTCTTCCCCAGGTCCCCTTTACCAGGACCAGTCACTCTGGCACAGGCCCAGGGAGGCCTCTCAAGGCTCAGGGGCCCCAGTGGCCATGCGGGACCCTGTCTCCAGCCTCCTGGCTCTCTAGTTCCTGTTGGCCGGAGTCCTGTCCCCCCAGGCAGCACCCAGCCCCTGCCAGGCAGCCACCTAAAATGTCACTGCTGAGGCCTGAAGGGCAGGGGAAGGGCAGAGCTCAAGGATGGGAACAGAGGAGGAAACCCCATGCCCAGCCCTGAAGGGCAACAAGAAGGACCGTGATTCCAGAGCCACTGCCCACCCTGTGCCTGCACTTGATCCTCACAGCCTCCCAATGAGGCAGGTGGTGCTCAGAATCCATCTGCTTTACACATGAGGGAACTGAGGCTCAGAAAGGGGCATTCATTTGCCCAAGGTCACACAGTTAATAAGAGGGAGCAGGCCTCTGAATCCAGGTTTGTCGACTGCAAGGCCAACCCTGTGGACCAGCCACATGGGGCCTTCCCAGCCCATCAGCTCAGGGGGTGAGAGTACCAGTCACAAGGGCGCTGTCAGCAGGTGCTGCTTATTGTGCGTGCTCCTCAGGTACAGGCCCTGCTCTAATGGCTTTACTTGTATTCACTCACCAAATCCTCAATTTTCAAAGGAGGGAACTAAGACACTGAGAAGTTAAGTAATTTGCCCATGGTCACGCAGTAAGTCCAAGGATTTGAACTCCTACCATGTCAGTGTAGATGCCATCCCCTTAACACTGCACTACACTGGCTCTTAGTAAACAGGAGTTGCTTAATAAAACTTTTGAAGTGATGCCTGAACTCAGCCTCTCCCTCCCTCTGCTTCCCGAAGCCCCCTGGCCCACCCTTCTAGCCCACTACTACAGTCCCCTCTGCCTCTGGCCTCTGCAGACCACCCCCACTTGGCCATTGCCTTCCCTCTTCATGAACAGAACCCCTCCATCCCTACCCTCTTTCCTAATCCAACCTATCCTCTCCTGGTTGCTACCATTCCATTCACATAGGAACGTCCCCTCCCCACTTCCCCTCAAACCCTTCCTGACTTTATGGCAGAGCTCAGCTTAAAATGTTTTGCCTTCTTCCTCCACTTGCAGCAGCAGGGAGAGGCCCAGCACACGCCAGGACAGGCAGAGGTGTCCCCTCACCCCACCCCCACCATGACCACAGTCACATCTGCCCAGCACTCTACAGTTTATGCAGGCATCGTCTTACTCCATTACTGTAGTGGCTTTTGGAGATGGGACTTTATCGACTTCTTATCCAGATGAGAAAACTGAGGTGCACAGAGGTTAAACAAGCCCAAGGTCACACCAGGGAAAGGGCGGTGCTGAAGCTGGACTTTAGCCGGGGGTTCCTTTCACTTTGCACATCACAGCTGCTCTCAACTCGGGCCCTCAGACTTGTCACTTGATCTCTGCCCCCAGTGACCTCCCTAACACAGCCCCAGGTTCCACCACCAGGGTCTTCCCTCAGTCCGGCAGCGATCCTGCCCCATCTGGTCTGGACACCTGCCCACCTCTGGCAGCAGCCAGAGGTGACTCACCCAAGGTCACAAAGAAAGCCGAAGCCAAGCTGGACTCTGTGCCAGGCAAATTCTGGGGTCACCTCCAGCCCCTGTGGCCCTATAGCCACCAGCCAGCTGGCCCAGCTCCCCTCTCTCCCAGAGCACCCTGGTTTCCCTGGGAAAGGGTGAGGTAGCAGTATGGGGGCAGGGCCCGCTCCTGAGTGGGCTGGGCCAGGCGGAAGCCGCTGCTGACAGCTCCCAGGTTTCTTGGCAACTGTCACTGGGCCTCCTCCCCCTCCCTTATCTCTGCATCAAGGTAACAATAATAATTGCTGCTTCATGAGTGCAGCTCTTTGTACTTTTCAAAAGCCCTCCTTATCTGTTCTCTCCTGGGGCTCTCATGGGAACTGGAGTGAGAGATAAGCCAGGGACTAGGATCCCCAATTCCCAGTAGGGCAAACTGAGGCTTGAAGGGTTAAACCACTACCTGGAGGTGACCAACAAGAGGGGAGCAGGTCAGAGATGAGAACCCAGGGCTTCTACCAGGCTGCACAAGGGCAGGGAACCTCAGGGGGCTTCACATTTGACAAAACAGGAGGCCCTGACCCAGGCATGGTGGGGGATATGGCTAGGAGATGCTGAGGGTGGGTGACCTATGACTCCCTGGGGCGTTCCCACCAGTGAGCCAGCTGGAGGGCAATGGGAGGGCCCTGTCTTTCCTCTCATCTGTGAAGTGAGAGGTCATGGGCCCTCTTCACAGGGTGGCTATGAGGCACTGAGCAGCCATCGCTGTGATTCCTGTCTGACACCATCATGGGAACCCAGCCTTCCGGGCGCCAGGGAGCTGGGCTGTCCCATGTTAGACCTTTATCTACCCGATGGAGGTCCCCAGGTGGGCCTGGCCCCCTCCTAGCCCAGATCTTGAGCCTCTCTGCTCCTGTCCTGCCCCTGCCACTGTGTCCCTGCCTCTCTAGGCTACACATGTTCTCCAGAGGTGCCATGCTGCTCAACAGAGAAGCCTTTGCTGGGTCCCCTCTACAGGGGGTCCCTTGCCTCCTTTTCTGCCCGGTGAACCATCCATGCTTTGAAATGCAACTTAATCAGGTGGAATGCTGGTGCCAGTGCAGTGACCTATGACCGGCAGGGCTGAAAGACTGGGACTGGGTCCCAGCACACATAGGTGGTCTGTCTGGAGGACAGACAAGGGGCCAGCCAGCCAATAACGGATGACCAAGAAGGACCTGTGGGGGGCTATCCCAAGACAGTGGCCTGAGGGACTCAGGAGGACCTCGCACTGATCAGCAGAGGTCAGGAGGGGGAGGCCCAGGGCCAGGTCCCTTGGGTTTCCCTGGTCCCCATGAGGCCAGCTGGTGCCACCCCCTGGTGGTACACAGAGGGTGGGAAGGGAGTACAGGGTGCACTCCTGCTCTCTCCTCCCGGAGACGGGACTTGAGGTGGCTGGAATCTCCAGCTACCGGCCTCAGGCATTGGGTCTGAGGGGACTCATCTGAAACCAAAGCCAGGCACTGCCCTGGAACTGGCCCGTCCTGGGGGGTCACAGAGGCCCATTGTTTTCTGAGCTCAACCATCTGGCACTGCCCTCCCTGTGGCTGCTCTTGCCGAGGCACCAGGCAAGGTGGCCAGGGGTAGCCAGGTGAGTAGGTTTCCAAAGCAAGGCCTAGGACCTGCCCCTCACCCCAGGGACACAGGCCCAGGCTCTGCTGCTGACCTCAGCCAGGATA